CCCATATGTGCCCAAGGGCTCAGTGCCCAGCCCCTCCCCAAGGCCTCCATCGTCGGAGGCTACACAGGCACCCTCGCCACTCCCTCTGGCCCAGCCCCTTACACCCCCTGTACGGAGGCTAGAACTTCTACCTAACTCGGAGAGACCAGGGCGCTGGCCTGACCAGCCTGAGGGTCACCAGAGGCTGGCAGGGCCTGGCTGTAAGGCAGGGCTGCCACCGGCGGAGCCACCGCTCCTGCTGCCACGAGCAGGCCTCTCACTGGCCTCCTCCAGGGCGGACAGTGATGCTGCCTTTTCGGGTGGCTCAGAGAGCAGGAAGAAGAAGCAGTACCGGCCGCGTGACTACACAGTGAACTTGGATGGCCAGGGGGCTGAGGCAGGCAATAAGCCTGTGAAGTTAAAAGAGCGCAAGCTCACCTTTGACCCTATGACAAGACAGATCAAACCCCTGACCCAGAAGGAGCGTGTGCGGGCTGAGAGCCCTGTGCGCCCTGAGCCACCCCGGACCGGGCTGAATGCGCAGGAGCCCAAGGGTAGCCTGCAGAGCCCCTTCGAGCAGACCAGCGGGAAGGAGCTATCACACAACGAGATGATCCAGCCCTACCCGAGCCGGCAGAGCAGCCTGCTGTCGTCTTCGGGCGCACAGACGCCAGGCGCCCACCACCTTCGGCAGGAGGAGAGCACCAGGCAGCACAGCACCCGTGAGACACGTGTACTGATGCCACACAGCCCACCTGCGGACCTGCCTGGGTGCACGCGGGAGGTCACGGAAGATGACCTGAAGCGAATAGAGGCCCACAAGTGGCCAGGCGTGAACGGGTGTTACGATACACAGGGTACCTGGTATGATTGGACGCAGTGCATACCACTCGACCCGCATGGCGATGGTGGGATCCTGAACATTCTGCCTTACGTCTGCTTGGAATGACCGCCTACTGGGCGGAGGGTAGGTGTGGAGGCCCAGGGAAGGCACCTGGGGTGGTGGAATGGGTGCCCCTGTGCTCTGCCCTCATGATTCTCTTTCTTTTGTGAAATGCTGCTACCAGTTTACTAACAAACTTGCATAGGAAGGACTTCGGGAAGGACAGCAAAGCGAGTTCGGAGCACTCCAACAACCACCTAGTTGGAGTGCGGGTCCCGCCCGGAACCCCAGCTGCAGGCAGGCACAGAACACTTGTGGAAGATGTTACCTTTAACAGAACCAAGAGCACGCATCTTATTTATGTGCATTTGTTTGTGTTGTCATTTGGCCCTGAGGTGTCTGCAAAGGTTGGCAGGAG